TTCTTTGGCCACAGCCAATTGTCCCATTCTTTTGAAAAAGCCAAGCCCTCGCAACGCGACTTCCGCGACTCCCGCTGGGCCGCGCGCTTGAAGTGATCCGCCGGTGTGAAGGTCTTGGCTGAGGGCTGCCACTTGCACTCCCCGATCTTGCCCTCGAAGCGCCCAGGGTCCTCACGGCCGTCCGGCTGGAAGCTGAGGACACAGACCTTGGCCAAAATTGGCCAAAACAGAAATCAACAGCCCCAAGTCTCCGCATGTGGATGGGGTTTTCTACGGAAACGAAACTGAAACTCGAACTGTTGCTACCTGAAGAGATGTCAATTCATCCTGAGGCACCAGGGTTCAATGAAGTAGCGAGTTTCAGGGAAGCCGCCTTGCAGGTGAGACGATTGTGACGGCGCCCTTGTGTTTGTCTCCAAAACTGGAGGTTGCGCAAGATGGGCTTCATCATATTCTTGGTTTCACTTTGATCTCCCCTTTAAAAAACAACCCTAAGGGCCTTCAATTCAAAAGAGTACCCATCGACAGCTCCTCCCGCAGCTTCTTGAACACGTCCCCGGTCTTTGCCAGCCAGTGGCCGCAGAACTTCACCTGTGTCGCGCTTTTCGGAGTGAGGCTGATTGAGGTGTTTGAGGGCGGCCGGCCTTGCATTGGTAACAAGGGCTAGTGTTTGGGGCTGTCTTAGGGTGCGGCCCCTCATGATTTTGCATAATTGTAGACTATGAGTTTGGCAGTCCCCTCAGAAAGTTGATACAGAGTTTAATCAATACTGACGATCCAAACCAAAGAGGGAAAACAGTCAAGAGCATGAAAAGACAACCCCTGCGTGTCATTCATTCCCAACCAGGGCCTGCGGAGTGGATGGGCCAACACATGAAGCCTTGTCCCTACACTGAAAGCTGACTTCAGGGCAGACTAGCTCCTTTCCATAGACCTGCACATAGTTCTAGGGGTTGATTCCTTTTCCATTCTTTACAACCATCGCTCTTTTCGGTTTTCTAGGTTTTCTAGAAAGAAGGATCCCTGGGTTTCGAATGGTCGCAGCTCCTCTCGGCCGTGCGTCCTTGACACCCCCCATCGAGCCCTCCAGGCGCCTGCCACTGCTGCGCCGTCTTGAAGCCCACCAGCAGCTTTACCTGAGATCCCAGCAAAGCGATCCACACCAAAAACCCAAACAATCCTTCCCAAGACAAAATCAGCAGTGTAAGGCGCCTTGAAACAAGGATCCGCAAGGGAGAACCCAAGCGGCTAACAGGGATGTATTCGATGGCAACACTTGTCCTTTCGCTGGAAAGTGCTTCTGAATGGTGCCAAATAGTCGTCACCTGTGAACACCATGCAAAATCAATGGCTCCGCTTGCTATGCTTATGTGTGTGCGTGTGTGGGCCCAGCATGGGAAGGTCGCCTGAAAGACATGTCTTTCAAAAGAATGCGTTTTGGGCATCCACTGGAAGCAAGGTGCTTCTGGGGCTTGCCCTGCCTAGCCGGTGTCTTGCTCCGGCAGGCACACGTCAGCCACACCGAGCATTGGAACTGGTTGTTCACAAGCTGAAAGCAGCCAGCACTTGCAGGCGGGAAACTCACCCTGTCTGCCATGCCATGACTACTTTGTCCCATCAAGGGGATTTCCTTGATGACACAGAAAGTGTGCCCAAAATTCAACTGTCCACCACCCTGCCTAAATGGCCCCTGTCCCAAGCCCCTCACGTGCATGTTCTTGTTCTCTCCGCTGACCACCTCAGCCAGACAGGGTTCACAAAAGGCGCGTCTGCCAAAGAAAGAATAAAACTTGGTTCAATCCATTCAGACTAGCCAGGTCCTGTGTGTCAGCCAGTGCCACCCCTGCAGAGTTTGCTTGATGCAACCCCAAGTTTGTTCCACCTCCGAGAGCTGGCTTTCAAAAGCAAATAAGCCGCGCCTCAAGCTTGAAGTCCACCGTGTTCATGTGCGCGGGCTTCCACTTGAGCAGTGCCGGGCAAGTGCCCGGAGCGTACGGCACCATGACCTGCTCCCGAGACGCGCCCCTTTTGGGTTTGGAAGTGCGGGCATTCGGACACCGTTGACAGGGAGGCTTCGTTCCGAAAAACTATGCATTCAAACCTCGAAACAAAGCCAAAAAGGAAAGAAGTCGCCTCGACACGTGCTTGTGGGAAATTCTCAAGAGTCTTGGCACCTCTCTTTCAAAAACTTTGTTGCAGTGTCGGGCCAACATGCAAATTGCCTTTTTCCCAGATCCCGAAAAATGAGCACGGTTCGGCCTACAATAGGGCTTCTGCATTTCTGCTTCAAACATCACCTGTTCAGACCCATGTAAATATCGACCCCAACCATTGGATCCGAGAAAAGAAAAAGAAAAGCATTTTAGACCCCAACCATTTGCATGTTTGACCCCAACCTTTTCAACAATGACTCCTCACTTGTCGACACTCGACACCCATCGCCGTGAGCGCAGCGCCGCCCCTGGCGCACCGGGGTGAACACCAGGCCGTCGGTGCCATGAGGTAGCTCCGCAGCTGAGCGAGGTGTGAGTGATACAAGGGGACCTCCTGACATTTCTTCTTTTGGCTTACAGAACCGCAGGGAAGCAGGGTTCCCTCATTTGGAGACGAATCCAATTCCTGAAAACGCACCAAATTACACTGACTCGGAGCCATACAGTAGCAAGGGGGGCCACAGCAGCCTGAGTATGAAAGTCGGCGCCATGATCGACCGCTAAGCGCTATCTTTGAATACTCTGACCAAACAAACCGGGAAAAACCAAACATCAAGCGACGCACACACACATATATATATGTATATAAAGAGATCCAGGAAACATAGGTGTATGACGTTTACTGTTTACCCTGACAAATTGTTTGTTTGGTTGGCTTTGGTGGATTTCCCGATTCTTGTGAGAACCAGAATGAAAAAAATAAAACACCATGAAAACAAAACATATAAACATTAAGCATATATCCCACGCGTGATGGCCAAAGTTGTCCCCTGACACATTAGTTTTGAATGACCTCGATGTTTTTGAGGTCGCCTATCTGAGCCACTGCATTTGCGCACAACTGCTGGTGACCTACTGTTCAGCAAATTTCAGAATGGGGGCATGTCTCTGTGGGTTCAACATATTACTTTCCATGTGTGGTGTCTTCTCTTTGCATCCTTGCACTTTTGGTGTTGTGTATTTGTTGTTTGCCTTGCATATTCTTCCTTTTGGTGGATTGTTGTGGTCGCCAGTTCTCACCTTATACTTTTCATTTAAAAAAGAAGCTGTTGTGCACGTGTACGGTGATTGTACATTGGCCCTAAATGTCTAAAAATATCCTGGTCATCATGCTGTCGTCCGATTCCTTTCTCTAATTGTACTTTGGTGAAACATGTCTAGAAATTATCCTGGTGCAATGTTGTCCTGTTTGCATCCTTGTCCTCTCTTTGATTGTACCTTGGTCAAGGATGTCTGGAATCATCGTGCAACATATACTTGAGGAATCATCTTCTGTGACTGCGCACTCTTTGCATTATTATAGTGTCCTTGTATTGCATTTGCATCTCTTCTTTCGTTTTCTACATCCATTCTAATCTGTAGTTGTGGCAGTCTTGCAAATTTCAAATCTCCTCCTTTTTTTCTTGTTGTTTATCCTTTTTGCAGATGTGGCTCTAGTCTCTAGCATCGCTTCTTTGCATGTGTTTTCACGTTTTCCATTCTCTTCTTTCTGTGTATTGTTACCTTTTTGATATTTCGCTGTTTTCATCTCTTCTCCTCTTTATTGTTCTCCTTCACTTCCTTTCAAACAGAGATGTGTGGCATCATTTCTGCACATTACACTCTTTTATCTCTCCTTGCCTGTGGCATCGGTACCGTGCATTTGCACTCTTTGTTTGCCCTTCTCTTGTTCAGCTTTCTTTCAATGAATTGCCTTGGCTTTTAAGATTAGACAGTCTGTGGCAGGTTCACGGACAAAGTAATGTTTTAAACATGTCAATGACCTGTGCTTAACACAAGCGCCAAAGAGAGTTTGCGGTCAAGAGTGTCTAGGCTGCGCGAAAAAATGTGATTTGTGCAGATATTGCAAAAGTGGCAATAAATAAACTTGATTGCAATTCGGCCGCTCAACAAATAGCATTCTGTAAAAGTGGCTTGACTCGTAGCTGGTGGAGTTTTCAAATTGATGAAGGCAGGCCGGTCGGTGGATAGGCAATCTGCAGCAAATGACTACACCTATGTGTGGTAGAAGAACACATGCCCAAGGCTGCGCAAGCAGTCCGTCACATGTGCTCGTGCATGGGATATGAGCTGCATGCAGCGTTTCCTGCACAAACAATATTTGTACAACTCCAGGCCCCATGGCGGCCCGCTCCCTTCTGAAAACTGTCCGCACACTTACATATGAAGCGAACTCACATTCTGTGATGTGCCAGCACTATGCGGCTGGTCAAACGCTCAAAGAATACCAGCTTGAAACCAAGCATTGGGATGGTTCGCTTGAGGTACCCCACAGTAAGAGCCTGGCCGATAGCAGTCACATCTCTGATCTGCCATAGCTCAAAGAAGTCCTGTTGCAAGACCCACCTTCATCTTGCCACTTGGATGGGGCTCAAACTCAGAACTACGCAGGTTTTAGTCTTTGGTTCCATTTACCAAGGTGCCATTTTGGTACATTTACTGGAGCCACAGCCATTTCTTTTACGGGTGTGTCTTGTTTTGAGGATGCCGCTTTTTGGTTGAACCTCTCCCAAAAGTCATCTTGGCATCGATCCCACTCTTGAAACCCACGACAAGCAGTTTGGCAGTTGTGGTCCTTCAACATGAGCTGGACGGCATCTTTGGATCGGCCATGTCGCAAAAGCTCCTCCTGTCAGCTGCGTTTTAAAGCCAGGCACACTGAATGGTGCCTTTCATGTCGATTTCTTTGAGCAAAATGTCAAGGTCTCCAACTATTTATGACACATACCCAGGCAGGCAAAAACAATGCCAGACCCTCTTGAGGCGAAATGCTTGCTCTCAGCCGTCCTTCGGTAGAATCACATCTGCCAGCGCCTTCCTGAGGCGGTACACCACGGTTCGGTGTGTTAGATCCTGAGGCAAAGCATGGCGTGCAGCGTGCCACACATGCGCTTGAAATCGGCTCGGTCCTCATCAAACATGTGCATCGCATCGTAGACCAAGTAGCGCAAGCATGTACTTGACCCCTGCGGGCCAAGACGGTAGGAGGAGCGACGGCAACACATTTCCCTCGCACCTCCATATCCACCACCAGCTCACCATCCAACAGAGTGTTGTGGTGCCACCCAGGGGCCCTGGCCGCGAGACATGGCCGTCAAGGGTGCCCTGGACAGAACATGTGTTTCATGCGTTTGTGTGTGCTGCGTTCAGATGCCTTGCGTGACGGTCGGGCAGAGGCAGCTGCACCTGTGCGCGGAAGTGAGCAGCTGAGCCGAATCGAAGTGGTGGCTTTGGGCTGTGGTAAGCTCATCAACGCGTGCAGACAGCCCACCGGGCAGAGCCAGACGCGGCACTTGCGGTCGATGAGGTAGACATGGCCTCACTGCCCCCACAAGGCGTTCCCAGAAGGCTGGCCAGCAAACCCCCACCCCCTCCTTGGCAGTTTCCGGGGATCACAGGCATTTTCGAATGCAGATATCTGGTATATGCTCCCTCCGAAGCTAATACGCTGCTATATAAGCCTGCATACCTGCAAAACCCATACCTGACAGCTTCCTCCTGGTAAGATCGGCATTCAAAAGCGGAAATGGACCTCTTGGAGGACATCAGAAGTACATGATTGCGTTTATGTCCCTCTTTGAGTGTAGTCCAACCATGAAGTATCATAGCCATATTCTGCTCAATGCGGCCTTCATAGGCCAGCAGCAGGTGTCTCTCCCCATCCGTCTTTTCGCAAACCAGGTAGGGCTCCTGCTCAAAGTGATCGCCCCATCTTTGACATTGGGATGGTCTAACCGGTCACCACAGGGCACGAATCACGGTCCCTGAATCCTTGCGGGCCTTCGGTTCTTGCGTGCAAGGATCCTACAGAGTTGATCTGCACAAAGGCCAGGCACCCATTGGCGTACTTGGATCATGGAAGTTGTCACTCGCAGTTTCGGCAGTCTCACAACTCATTGCATTTCACACGCTGAGCTTCTGGCACAGGACCCACAGAACATGCGTCGATAGCTTGCATGTCTTCATGCTGATTGCGTTTACAAATGAACCGAACTGGGTGTTGCTCCCTCAAGAGAGTTTCGCCACCTCCCCCCCCCCATCCCATCCTGCGATGTTCAGAAGGCCCCTCACCCGCCCGAACCAAAAAATAGGCTGCAAACACTTGAACTAACGAAATATCCCCCCTTTTTCGGAATTCTACAGGTCCCTGAGTGCAAGTCATCTTTGGGGGAACAAAGAATGATATCCAATGTGTTTGTCCAGTTCGTCACATACCACTTACCGTCCACCGTTCGCTCCTGCAAAAGCTGGTCGCCCACCTTCTGCCGGGTCAGTGATGTCGGCTGGGCCCCAGGAAACGCATCCTAGCTCCGGCACGGACCGTTTTGGTGAGTCTCTAACTTGTCCCTTTCCTCCTGAGTAACCCCCTTTTTTGTTATTTGGCTGTGGGTCAAAACCAATGGTACTATCACCCATTTTAGTCGATTTTAGTGGGGATTGGGATGTTCACTGGGGGTACGGGATTTTGACCCATGGCCATTTGTCAAAAATCCGAACATGGTCATGACATGGGCAGGGAGGGTACCGTAACATGTGTGTGTGTGTATATATATATATATATGCATATAACAAATATATATATATATATATAATGTATACAAACTCTCTCTCTCTCTCTCTGTCTCTGCAGTCTCTGTTTATCTATACTGATCTTTCTTGCTTGTTTTCTGGACTTTCCGCCCTGTTTCCAAGGTCTTCCTGGATTCCGATTGATAACTCGGGGCTATCAAAGATCGAACGTTCCCTTGCATCATCAGGTTACTGTACACTTCACGACAATGGCTGGATGCGCCGGCAAATCCAACCGGAAGGGCGTGCCAGGATTTGCCCGTGCACCAGATGGTTACACAGCTGGATGATCTCCTTAGAGCAGCCAAATCCCGCAGCTCACGCCAGCAGCATTTGTCCTTTGTGAAAAAACAATCAGAGGATCTCAAGTCCAGACAATAATCAACAGCCTCCAACTCCTGGCGAGGGGAATTTGCTTTTGCCAACAAAGAACCAGAAGTTCCCTGGTTCCTCCCACGACTGGGCTACCGGCCAGCTCTCTGAAACCTGGGGGATTGTCCGGATGCCTGGCGCGTCCATGCATCACATCTAAATGCGTATAAACCGACCTCCGATTGATTGCTTTCCTGTCATTTCAGCTGTCTCTAGTTTTGACACACCCTCATATCGACAGTGTTCGGTTAGTCGGAGTGCAAAGGCAAACAGCAATGTAGCGGACAGGACGTTTTGTTGTGCCAGGGTCCAAAGGCAGAGGCAAGATGGAAAATTGTGCCAAATTGTGCCAAGAGCGCCCGCGCAAAAGAGTGATGTGAGCAGCAGCTTTGGCGGCTTCCATCGCATCATGGCTGGACTTGCACGCTTATCAATCAAGCCCGCTTCACAAACCGCGCATTTCTCTGTTTTGCATGAGCAGCGACATGAAAGAATTTGCCAGTAGAATAAGAGTATGCAAAATTAGATATTGTCTTGTCTGTTCACAATAGGCCACGATGGTTGCTTTCCTGTATTCCTTGTTGGGGGACTCCAACCTGCTTGTTTCACCAACGGTGTAGATACCCATCCAGCCGCTGTGCTCTGAATGCTGCAACAAACCGCGCTGACAAGTAAACAAATGATCACGCTGGAGCCCTCGTGTTGCCACCTGAGTCAAGTCTTGAGAAGGCAGGCGCGCGTGGGTTGCATGGGACGTGGCATGAGAAGCGCCAAACGCAAGCCTGGGTGCTGGCCTAGACTCTCCTTCTCAGCGTCAGCTTGGCTTTCTTCCAATAACATACCAGACGAAAGGTCCACACGGTCCACACCCTCCTTTTCGAGGAAACTGGCCTATGTGGGAGCCAGGGCATAGATACCAAACCAACGGTCTCACATCCTGAAGCTGGGACACATCCAAAGCCCGGAGCGAGGCTTCACTCATGATGCGCACCTGGCTTGGGCCCATCCAGCAGATACGACTCTGGGATAAAAAAGAATCACGGGCCGTGGCATGTGACAGTTGGCCCAATATGAATATGCACCGAAACCAAGGGCCCTTCCCAATGATTGACTTTGGCAAGTGTCCCTCTCTCACTGGTCAAGAATATATCTCCGATTTTGACAGCCGCCAATGCATTCCGTGTAAGCCTGCACCCATTCGCGACGCACACAGGCTGCGATCAAACAAATTCTAAGCGAAACTCATGGCAAGCCTAAAGGTTTTATGTCTTTCCGTGACCTCTTTGGTTGCTGCCATTTGCAAAAATAATTGCCTACCCACACCGTCCAGCGACAGATTCAAACATTTCTCTCATGGGCCAAGCAAACAGCTGCGGCCAAGTACCATATTGCTGTGCACTTGGAAAATGTGGCGAACGCACACTCCTGGCATCCCTTGAGGATACAAGGGCAAATGTCTGCGATGTGTGCGTCAGTTTAACGTTGCGTGTCTGCTTGCAATTGAATGGGCAACTGCAAAAACACAATGTAGTTTTCACCTGAAACACAATACCTTTTCCACCTCAAGAACCACTCACATCCCTGTTGGTGGGCAGGCGCAGAAATTACTCGTGAAATATGTAAACCAAGCAAGACACCTAAAATTCACACGGAGATTCCTCGATTCTCCTCATGCTGGAAACTTCAGGGGTTTTCGCGTGGTTCGGGCACGACAAATTCGCAAGCGACACGCCTGCAAGCACGGGCTACCAGAGCCACCCGAACAAAAACCACCTATTAAGCACAAAACCTCCCGCAAAACATCTGGCACGCAAAGCGACTGATCAAGGCACCTGCGTCATCTGCGACCCAAATAGGCGGCGCTCCGGTTGACAGGCGGTGCCCAGGGCACGGGCTTACACTGAATGTGCAAATTCACCTTCTCTTTAATGACCTGCGCAACGTCACGGCAAGTTGAACAGCAAACATGCATCCAACGACGAAAGAGCAGAACGTGCTCCTTTTCCAAGCGCATGGCAGACGCGGCTGAAACAAGCTGGCCGCTTGGCGGTGCGCCCAGAGCCTCCATGGTGCACTTTGCAAAACCAGGCGGCGCTGCGTAAACTGGGTTCAAAGCAACCCTAAAGCGGCTGGCAGGGCGGTTTACAAAGCGTTGCGACTAGTTGCGACTCCAGTTCTCTTCCCAGTCAATGCCTGCCACATGCGTGGGCTGGAGAGTCGCGTGGACCCATGTGGCAACATGCTTTGCTGCACAAAACCATGCATAAACCAAGAACTTGAGCGGTTGATAGGGAGAAAAACAGCGCCAAGTTGGAAGGTGGAAGCAACGGAGACTATTTTTGTACCTCGCAGCCACTGTCTCCGCGGTGCGCATCATCAACGAAAAAACGAAATTCACCGGGTGCAGAGCCACATGTCAAGACCCTCAGCCATAACTAGAAGCAACATTGTTGCGCTGAGCAAGTGACGGCAATAGAGAAGCAACCTTTTGCAGTGGCAGCAAATCCAAAATGCCAACCTTCTGCCACAACAAGCAACGAAACAGCAATAAAACCGAACCGAGGCGGTTGGCACCCAGAACCTGAAATTGAAAGAGCCATCGCCACCGGCCAACGGCATTGCCCAAGCGCAAACAAACAGGGGGGCAAAAACAAAGAAGTGAAAACTTAGCACAAAAGGCGACATTGACAGGCCAAGAGTGATCTTCACCATAGTTCACCAACTCATACGCGAGAGGGACTTTCAAAAAGACACAAGCCAAGTAAATCAGTTGCTGATAGCAAACCACAAAAAAAAACAATGGCTAGCTTAATTCCTCCATTCTGAGTGTTTGACTCTATCTCTTTAACTAATGCATGTTCTTATATTTTTCTCATTCTGATATTGGTGATAAAGAACATTCATCTTTTTGGCTGCACGCCGGGAAGTCAAGGTTCTCATTCAATCACCGGATGGGACTCAAACCAGGGTGTGTCAAAAGGGGGGAGAGGTCTTAAACAACTACCCACAAGTGTCCCTGATTGCGACACACAGTGACGACACTGCCGGAAGGTCTTTGCCTTCCTCGTTACATGTGAACACGGTTCATAAGTGTGGAAACAGGCGGAGCGCCATGTTAGAATCTTGATCACTGCTTCAATCCGTAAGGGAACATGCATCAAGAGACAAAAGAGAACGACCGACAAAGGGTGCGCTCGCTCTTTATCTTTATAAGGCGTTGCTTGGAAGTTCAGGCTTGGAGGTGCAGGGGGAAAAACAAAGCGTGTCCTTTTCCCATGTCTGCACCCCCCTGCGGAGCCTTCTCAAATGCCCCCGCGGTCAACAGAGCGTGTTCGACCAAGCGCCAGGTGTATTACCTGTGAGGCGTTGAACATTCGAAGGCATTAGTTGCCGTGGGCTGCCCTGCGGGCAACCTACTGGTGTGCAAGCGGAGTAGTAAAAACATAGGCTTACACTACCCTAATTATTTTCGTTTTTGGGCCGAAAAAGCCGCCAAAACAGCCAAATTTTGAACCGGCTGAACTCGTCACCAGTGATGTCACCGCTATGTCACCGCTCCCTTTTGGGCCGAAAAAGTGCTCAAAACGGCCAACTTCCCGAATTCCCGAAAAGCTCGTTTTTTCTGTCAGACGCCAAGTGAGGTGCCTCAGCCTCTAGATTTGCTCGGTTTCGGCCGAAAACAGGCTCTAGACGCGCACGTTGCTCTCGATCCGTTTTCGGCCCGAAAAAGCTGCCAAGATCCATCCCGCCGAGCTTGTCACCGTTTGTCACCGCTACGTCACCGCTCCCTTTTGGATCGAAAAAGCGCCCAAAACGGCCAACTTCCCGACTTCCCGAAGACTTCGTTCTTCAGCAAATTTTCCGTTTTTCGCCCAAGCACGGCAGCCTGCCGAGCTCCTCGCCCCTGACCCGACAACCTGCTGAACTTGTCACCGTCTTTGTCACCGGGTCTAACACGCCAACCTGCCGAACGTCCTGAGAAGGGCTCAAAATCTTGGCAATTGAATCAATATTGAATCAACTTGAAACAATATTGGTTCATTAATGGGCAAAGGTAGCCCGGTGTCGCCGTCGGGTTTCGAGCCAACAGTCGGGATTCGAGCCCCAGACCAGGGTGGTGCAGAGACTGTGCTTAACCACTGAGCTAAGGGAGCTTCTTTTGGTGGAAAAAGCAGCCTGCTGAGCTTGTTACTGGTGCTTTTGGGTGGAAAAAGCAGCTTGTCACCGCTTGTCACCGCTTGTCACCGCTTGTCACCGCTTGTCACCGGGGCGCTTTTTGGGTGGAAAAAGCAGCCCGCCGATAGCTTGTGTCACGGGGTGACACGAAGCGTGGGAGACCTCGGCGCCTCGAATCGCGGTGACA